CTTGACCAAGTAAGTAGATACTCTCTTAGAGACTAATCACAGATTTCTCTCAGGTATCTATCTGACTTTATATTGCTCTGAGAAACTTTGACCTTTAAGTTTATTATGATTCCAAGAAAAAGTCAATATATCTTAGCCTGCTAAGGTTTGAGGAATTTAAATGAGTTATTGAGTTGAGTAGTTAAATCTTACAATAATGGATTCTTTTCCTTTCAAGTTTAAGATGATTACAATCAATGGTTTTAATTCCAAAAAGCCAGTTCTGAGGCCTAGGAGCTATAGGCGGCGTATCATTTAATGTAAAAGTACTACTTCCTGTATGATTTTATATTGCACAATATTTTAGAGGGTTTGTGAATTAAAAAATGAGGACGATTAATTAAAACTTAAAGGGAAAATCCCTTAGCTTTGAAATGTACATTTTTGCTTAATTGTCCTTTTCCTAATATCCCTGTGTAATTGCAATTAACACTGCACTGTAATCTCATTTGGGCGGAAACCCTGTAATTGACTATAATCCAGCTTATTAATATTTGTCTAGAAACTTTCTTGGCAATCTCCCATTTGAAGGGAATTGTCACATTAGCTCCCAGACCTTTTTCTCTTAGGGAAGCTATTCATTATACATGCTGTCTCTGAAGCTCACTTTTCCAGATAGAATTTTAAGGAACACAGACACCTACACTCTCACCTATACCCTGTGCCTATCATTCTCTGAGCAGTAATCAGATATTCTGTCTGTCAAACTCTATGTATCAAGCCAATGCTGTTTGTCAGACAGTATGTTAGATTCTGCACTCATAAGGAAAGGTAAAAACAGTACTGTGTTTTCAATGAATTCTCATTCTAACAGGGTATACAATATGTGATTTAAGATATATACAGAGCAGATAGAAAGCAGGCTCTGAGGAGAAGGCACTAGCAGTTGATGGAGAGATTGGTACAATTCAGATGGGTAGCTTCATGTTGATTGTATTCTCAGAATTCATCATGAGAGGCAGTTTATCCTAGTGGATTGAATCCTGACCTTCTGATTCAGTGAGATCTTCGTTTGAACCATGCTTCACACACTGGATAACCCTGGGCATCAGTTTCTTCATGTGGAAAATGAAGATAGTCATAGTACTTACCTTGTAAGTGCTTACCTCGTTGAGAGGGTCAAATAAGAAAATATAAATTCTTTTGTAAATAAAGTGCTTGGTATAAATGGAAATCTGTATTCATATTATCATTGCTTCTTTGATTTTATCTAGGCTATGAGTTCTCTTCAAGCACCAGAAACCATCAGTGGATAACACTGGAAGAGGAGGCATAGTTATTTTAATCTCCATTGGTTCTTCCAGGCTAAAGATACCTGTACCCTGCACTCAGTCTCATCACATACTCTTTATCACCTCCATTGATAAACCCCCATTCTGTTCCTTGCCTCCCTTCAATTCCCTGTCAGAAGAATTACTCTAGTCCTATGCCCTGGATCTTACTCTTTCTTCATGTTGTTTGAGGTATCCCCAGGGGGCTCAGTGATTGATAGGGCACCCAGCCTCTGTGTTCTCTCATTTGCCATTTTTTCCTGGTGTACTCTCTATAATATCATATGAAAATGGAATGTATGATATAAATAAACTTCCAGCAATGCATTGACAAATTAGGTATAGCCCACAGGCATGAGATGGTCCTTGCTTTAACTGAGCCATTTTAAGCCTTCACATGGTTAAAGAATCTTGCCAAAAAGAACATAGCTTTGAGAGAAACATGCTCATGTCAATATAGGATTTCTTAAAAATTGCTGCCCTTGGTTTTTCAGTGTCACCTCTTCTAAGCCATCTTAAAATCATTGCCAGTCTCCTGTTCTTTGACCTTCTCCTCATGGACCTTCTGTCCTACCTATCTGCCACCACAAGAGCTGAGTGCTTTGCCTGGCATTAATTACTTGTCCCTGATATGATCTCTCTCTGTTGTTCCTCTTGATCCTCCCCTCCTTCCCTATAACTTCTCCTCTTAGTATTCCCACATCATTCTCAACCACTCTTTCCTCTTATTTTTATGTAGCTAGGGGTCTCATCAACTGAACTGAACTTGTACCTCCTCTTTTCTCTTTTGTATTTTAGGGTTTAGCTCAAGTCTGGTGAATTTCCTGTGAATTATAGGGTTTGGATTGATACAAACAGCTATCACCAGTGATGGGCAGAATTAATCCTCATTATCTGGCAGTTACTAACTTTCCTGTAGACTTAAAAAGTCTATAGTTTAAAAAACTTCATCTCATATGACTTCCCACTTTTCTTGTCGTTTTGATTCCTCTTTCCATCCTCTACTCCAGAATTATCTTTCTCAAACATCATCTCCATCATTTAATTCTATCAACAACCTTCAGGGATTTTTCTTTGTGTACTTGATAAAATCAAAATTTCATAGGCTAAGACTCCACAGACCCCACATAGTCTGGTCCCACCAATGCTTGAATATCCTAGTCAAGATGGTCTTTTTCCACTCCCTTTATTATATAGTTCAAAAGTAGTCATCAGATTTTTTAAAAAATGCTAAACCAAGGATTTGAACTGAGGGCCTCTGTATCCAGTAGTGCTATTCTATCTATTGTACCAATTATGACAATAAGTATATTTTTTCAAATTTAAATATTTTATTGATTTTAAATAAATTAATTTATTTTTTAAATTTTTCCATAGGAAATTGGTGCCTGGAGAACTTTAATTTTCTCGTTGTCACATAGTGAGGGTAATTCAGATTATTTTAAACTATTCTCTTCTAGTTTAAACAAGATTTTTAAAGAAATATATGGTCTATTCCTGCAGCACTGATAGGAACTGAAGAGAGGTTAGTCAGTAGTGGTGTAGAGGCTGTATGGAACTCAGGGAATCAGTGTGTTTATGTGGAGAATGTTATGCTTGACAGTATTTCCATCAATGGATGGATGACGTGGCATCGTAATGTTTGGAGGGGGTCATGATGTGAATAGTAGACATGTTCATAATTGTGCTGGGCATTTCACCTTCCCAGAGGCCAATATGTCAGCTATAAAGTATCTCAGAGAAGAAAAGAGAATCACCTAGGAAATATAGAGAGAAGGTGCAGGGGAGATAAAGGAAGGGAGGAATCAGGGTGAAAGCAGGTCCTGTGGGATCGATATATGGAGGGTGTGAGAAAGAGCTTGTCCTTTCTGCAAATGTGAGTTTCTCTCATGGTACTTAAAGTATATAGACCAGTAGTTAGGGAAAAGATTTGGAAGCGATGTTTCCATTGATAAAGACTATAACCAGGTGCCTCCTCTGTCATCATTGCAGTTTATTGTACTGGACAAAAGTCAACTGATTCTCTCCCTATCTTTAGTACTAAGGCTTCTTTCCTGTGTGGACCCTAAGAGGAATCATGAGTTGGCATATTTTGCCGTACTTTTTCCCACAGACTAGAACCTGTCAAGGATAAGGAGACTCAGTAGGGCCTGAATTCTTTTATTTGACCTGTTGCAGCTGTAGTTACCTTGGTTTCTCACCTTATAGTAGAACATGGAGTTACTGGTGTTTCATGTTCAGATCTGATCCTGCCACCCTCTGGCTAAATAAATCTTTGCCTATGTGGCTTCATAGAGGGTTCAAGCCAGGAGGGCCAAGGGCAGCTCAGTATGTGATGTCACAGACATAGGGGGCTTATAGGCAATTCTCCAGGTTACAGAGGTATATGACTTTGAGTCTGTAACCAGAGATTTCTACCTCTGCTCTTTATGTCTAAAAGTCTCTAAGATACAAGGTCCATGCAGAGGCTCTGTGAAAGTGAAGACCAAAGCTCAGGGATTGAGAAGCTCTGACAAGGAATGTCCTATCTAAAGGTTACTCTAAGTTCTCATATTATAGCCGAGTCCACACTAGGATCATCATTGTGACCTCATTGTTTCTTTCTGTCTGTCTGTCTCTTCTTCCCTTTCTTTGTCTCTGTCTCTCTCCCTCCCACTCCTCCCACTCCTCCTTCTCCTCCTCCTCCTCCTCCTACTTCTTCTTATTCTTTTTCTCCTCCTCCTCCTCCTCCTTCTTCTTCCAAATCATTCACAAGTATTATTAAGGACCTATCACATGCTAGCCAGTATGGTAAGCAGTCAGGATACAAATAAAGGAAAAGATAGATTGTGCTTTAAAGGAGTTCATGGGGGTTGGTTACTTGGACATAACAATGCATAAGCAGAGTACATACAGGATGAATTGTAGATAATCTCTTTGGTAAGGGACTAGAATGAACAAAAATTAGCAAAGTCTTCTTTTCATAGATGGGATTTCAATTGGGCCTTGAAGAAAGCAGGGGAAGTTAAGAGGTAGATAAGAGAAAGAAGAGAGTTCCAACTATGTTGTCCAACCAGTCAAAATGCCCGGAGTTTAGAAAGAATTTTTTCTCTGAGGAATAGAAATAAGGCAAACTTCAGTGGATCTTAAGAGTAGTAGAAGCGGAATAAAGTGTAAGAAATTATTTAGTCTTTTTTCAGTGTTAGAAGACAAGATGCCAATTTGAGGATTTTATATTTATTCTATAAGTGATAGTGAGTTTCTGGAGTTTATTTTTTTTTAATAGAAATGGGGCATGGCCAGATCTGTACTTTGGGAACATCAGTCTGTCACTTGCATTGAGGGCGTGCTACAGTGTCAAAGACTTCAGAGAGGGATACCAAGCAGCATATTATTTCAATAATCCAGTGAGATGACACGGAGTAATTTACATAAAAATGAAATTGTGCAGACCTTCATCCCTCTCTGCTCCAGCTGCTGGGTATAAGGGGGAAATATTTTTTTGTAATCGTGTATTTTCCAGGGTAGGATTGATTGAAGGAGAAACCTTTTGATTCCTTGCATTTTGTGGTAGACTCTTCCTTGTATCCTCCAATGCAGTGGGGAAGCAGTACTCACCTCTCTATTTGGAAGGCCATCAAAAATGAAAGTCTTTGTATTCCCTGAGTAAATAGTATTTAAACCTTTCTGCATTTTTTGTTTCCATTTTAGTGTATTTTGGCCATGATAGCCTACATGCATCATGTGAGAGAAAGCACTGTGGTCGAGGGAGTCGTTGTATTATAAATGAAGAGACCCAGATGCCCGAATGTCAGTGTTTGGAAGGCTGCAAGTCTAGTTATATGCCAATATGTGGATCTGATGGCAAATTCTATGAAAACCACTGTGAGCTCCATCGGGCCTCATGTCTGCAGAAAAAGAAAATCTACATCATCCATAGCAAGGACTGTTTCTTCAAAGGTAGGAAGTGCTTTTTCAGTTCCTCTTTTTATATGGATACAGATGCGGTTTTTAGTCTGACTATTCCAATGTTATTAAAAAAAAAAACTATACCCTCCTATGGTCTGAGGCCAAGTCAGTCGTGAATCCAGGATCGTCTCCATGCAATGATTGGGTGTTTCAAAATTGTATTGGAGTACTAATAGTATTTGTTATTGGATGTATATACTTGAAAAGAAAAAAAAATGTTGGTGAGACTTAATCTTTAGAAGTCTAGAAAATGGTTTTGTGGCATTAGGTCATTCTTTGAGCAGATTTGGACCGAAAGAAGTATGTGAGGTAGGAGTAATTACCCATATCAATGAGAACACAAATCCAGGAGAGTACTGCACAGTTCATTCTGTGACTGTATTGTTTGCAAATATTTCTACTTCCATTTAGTGTTACAATTGTTAAGTTTATGTTTTCTATATCTTATCTGTACAAAGGGAATATATATTTTATTATTATTACCATTTTTTTTACTACTGACCTCAGTGTAACAGAATCACTCTAAATAGACTTTTTCTCGCAACAGTAATTGTATAGATTATCTAAGTTGGACTTCCTCTATCCAAAAGATAGGACCCTAACTTTAGAATTGCTTCTTTTTCCTTTCATAGGTCTATTTTTCCCATTTTGAATAATTTAGTGATTTTCTCAATAAAATGTTGCAGCAGTTTTTTACATTTTCTTAATTATTCTATTCTTACTAGAGAAACATTAATTTTAAATAATATTTAATTGACTGGGAGCCCTTGTTACAATCAAAGGGTTTCTTGAAGCATCTATTTCTTTTCAAATCCTAGGAAATCTGTTTGCATCTCTTTTTTTCGTAGTATATATAGTGCTTTTATTAGTTGAAATTTCTGGATGCATCACCTCTATGTATTAATTTTATACATGCTGAAAATATATGATATTAAACTTTCCCTTCATTAGTGAATATATTGTGATCCTAATTATTGTTCCTTTATTTGTGACTTCTTACCACATATTAAGAGAGCAGAGGGCTTCAGGAAATGCTTTGAATTTTGAATCAGAAGATCTCAGTTCAAATCCTGCCTCTGTGTGATTTATTTCTTGTGTGATTCTGAGCAAGTTATTTAATCATTTTTTCCCCTTTTATGTCTGTCATCTGTTAAGTGGAGTAAATTCAATGACCTTTGAGATTCCTTCTAGATCTAAATATATGTTCTTGCAGTGGTAGGGATTTAGTTAGATAATGGCTCAACACTTTTGAAGCAAGTAATATAATTCTCCTCTCTAATGCCTTACTCAGTTGAAAATCCATCTAGACTGTTTATCAAGTTTTGTCTCGACCTGGACGTCTCCATAAGCTTTAGAAGAAATTTCGAAACAGTCCTTGATCCATGTAAATGTAGAAAGCAACTAGATGAACTTGAGTGGTATTGAAAAGGAAAGTATTTACAATGGTCAGAGGAAACTTCATGATGTCCACTGAGGTATGTATAAGTTACTGACCCATTTTGTATTCAACAGAGTAGGACATTCTACTCCCTTAGTACCTAGTACTTAAAAGCCTTCAGCCAAGACCCTGAAAATGAATTACTTGGTCACAGCAGTCAGGAGAGGGAGAGCATCAGCTTTGCTCTCCTCTTTACTGACCTTAATACAGAGAAGGATCATATGTACTTTTGAGGATTGGAGGTTTCAGACTTCTTTCTCGTAAGTTTGCTAGTATCTTATACTTGGAACAGTAGAGGCTCTGACTGCACTGGTCATATCTACCTTTGGAGCTACAGAAAAAAAATAATAAAAGAAGTATCAAAAGGTCACTTCACGACTGTACAAAGAGTCTGTCAGAAAATGTATGCATTGGATAAGGGAAATTTCATAAATAATGCCACAGTAGCAGAAAATGATTTCTGGAAATTGTGGATTCTCCCTTTGCACATGTGTGCCCTAAACTTAAACCTACTTTCCTCTGAATTTTTTATGTACTGGTCGGAGATTTTGTCACAGTGTTTTGGGTAGAATGTTCTTGGTATATGCTTGTTCGAAAAAGTAATTCTGACTGAGCTGTAAACAATTGAGGACATAACGTTATAGGTATTATCCAAATTCTCTGGATTGTCTATTTTCTGATATCTCTTAATTACTGTGCTGTGTGGGATCCTACCTTTCATTCCAGTAAGATTTGAAAAAGTATTACCTAGGCATGTAGCATGAATGATGATGTGATCTCATAGTTTTTAGCCTGAAAAAAATCTAATTTTTGAGTTCCAACTGTGATATGACTAGGCATGATGAATGTTAGATTCTTGCATATTTCTATCTCATGGTTTCTGTTTTTACTTCTGAGAAGGTTTTTGAAAATTTCCTGAATTACAGGGTCCTGTTTCTGTTATACTTCTAGCTCCTTTCTGATGTCATAATCCTAAAATAGCTTTTTTATGATCTGTCATCCATGTTTTTATGCATAAATCTTTTATTACTCCATAAGAATGTGAATAATTGAGTTATTCACTCCAGTGTGCTGTGCAGTTTCATTTTCCAGAGTGGAAAATTTGGCCCTATTTTTATTAATATTTCTACCCCCTTTATCTTATTTATTTCCTTCATATTTCATCCATTTTTTTTCCCTTTGTCTAGGTAATAGTGTTAAGTGACTTGCCCATGGTCACACAGCTATTAAGTGTCAAGTGTCTGAGGTCACATATGAAATCAGGTCCTCCTGACTCAAGAGCCGGTGATCTATCCACTGCACCACCAAGCTGCCTCTTTATTCATTTTTAAAATAATATTTTAGTTCTGAATTAATTTATTTTTAACTTCAAGTTTCTTTTAGTCCTGTGATTTATTACAATTGCAAATTCTTGCTAATTTTTATTGAATAAAGAATATCTATAACCATCTTTTGGTATATTTTTTGCTGTTTTTTTTTTCTGCCAGTCACAGAAATCTGGCACAGTGAATAGAATGCTAGCCCTGGAGTCAGAAGATCAGAGTTTAAATATGGCCTTAGAAACTTACTAGTTGTGTGACCTTGGGCAAGTTATTTTACCCTATTTGCCTCAGTACCTCACTATTAAACTGAGTTGGAGAAGGAAAATGCAAAACACTCTAGTATGTTTGCCAAGAAAACTCCAAATTGGGTCACAAAAAGTGAGGCATAAATGAAACAACTGAATGACAGAATTTCACTGCTGCCTCTTTGGCTGATTGTTTCTCTATAGTATCATTCAATTTTATTGAATTTCTGCTCATAGAAATCTATTATTTGTTTTTATTTTCCTTAATTCTTCCCTATTTATTTTTTCTTAGTAGTTGAGATTGCTGTGTTATTGAGGTATGTTTGAGAAGCTTGGTTCTCTTTGATCCCTGTCCTCTTCTTTCTTTGATTGTCTTTATGTAGTAGATTTTATGTTACTAACTACTTGTTTGAATAAAATTATCCCTCCTGGAGATACCTTTAACAAGCAAGGTTGAAACCTATAATGTTAATGTTGCAGGTAGAGAGAACAAATTTTCCCCAATACAGCTTCTAAATACCTAGTGGTATGTAAAGATATTTGGCTCCTATTATGTGCACTAAAGATTTGGTTTTTTGTTTGTTTGTATTTTTTTATCTATCAATGTAAGGACGTATCAAGTTTCAAAATGCCCTCTTCTGTTATCTAAAACCGTCCTGATATTTGTAATCTCTTTTTCTTCCAAATATCCCTTTGTAAAAGGTAAAATTGATACTAATTGTTTTGGATTATATGTCTGAGATACCAATAACTTCTTGGTAAATCAATGATATAGGAATGATTCTAAGTGTAATTGGTGATCTCATTTGGGGGGATAATACTGAAACTTGGTTTTTAATCTATTGGAATTAAAGGACAATCTGATCATTTGGCATTATGCCCAGAATTCTGAGTGTGAGATATAGAAAGCCATGCTTCATGTACCCAATCTGCTAGTGCTTATACGACTTGGTAGAATGGGTCTAGAGTCTAATCATTGTCTACGTATCCCCCATAAATAATCACTATGTATTTCTACTCTTCCTCCTGAGGGTATGTGTATTTGTAAAATAGAGAGCTCACGTTTTATGGGAAGCAATGCTCTGTTATTATATTTATTAACTTATTATTTCACTATAAAGCTTTACTAAGAATTGTTCTTTGAGAGTACAAAGCTAAGCGGGAGGCAATTTACTGTGATGTGGAAAGCATTTTGTAAGTGGCTCATTTAGGATTTCACTAGAGGTATTCCAAATTCAGTACTATTTCTCCTATACCATATATTATTTTAATGTATTTTTATTTCATTAAGTATTTTTCAATTACATTTTAAAAATGTTTCTAACATTTCATTTTAAAAACTTTTTAGGTTCTAAATTATCTCCTTCATTACAAACCCTTCCCATACCCATTGGTTAAGTAAGTAGTATGATATCAATATACATATAAAGTTATGCAAAGCATATTTTCATAGTATCCATGGTGCAAAAGAAAACACACACAGAGAAGAAAAATAAAGTGAAAAATGTATGCTTCGATTTGCACTCCGAGGTAATCAGTTCTGTCTCTGAACATGGATAGTATTTTTCATCATTGCTCTTTTTGAATTATCTTGGACAGTTTATCAGAATAGTTATATCTTTGACAGTCGTTCATCCTTACAATATTGCTGTCACTATTTACATTGTTCTCCTGGTTCTACTTAATTTGCTTTGCATCAGTTCACATAGGCTTCCTAGGTTTTTCTGAAACCATCCTGCTCAACAATTCTTAATAGCACAATAGTATTCCATTACATTCATATGCCACAACTTGTTCATCCATTCCCAATTGATGGGCATCCCCTGAATTTCTAATTTTTTGCCACCACAAAAAGAACCATTATAAATATTTTTGTACAGATGGGTCTTTTTCCCTTTTCTTTCTTCTCGTTGGGATACAAACCTAATACTAATATTCCTATTAACAGGTATGCACAATCTTATATCTTTCCAATATATTCTCCTG